CTTAAAGAAGTATACTGATGACTTTACTCTTTGGTTATACTCTCCTTTTGGCTGTTTAAGACCATACAGTTGGCCCAAATAAACCAATTTATTTTATACTTAAGCTCATTTGAGGATCTGTTCCTCAGGGGTCACATGGGCTTGGGAGGAGCTCCTGGCTCCTTTCTTTTACCAGTGATGATAAATCAAAGGTTCTATTTGACCATGTCTGGCTTCACTTGGAAGCATGAATGAGGTGTTTCCTCTGAGTTGACCCTCCTCTTTGTAGACTGGACACTGGTTCAAATTCATCTTGTGGGATCTCCATGCCCTCTCTGAACAAAAGGACAGGTGACTCACCATACTTACAGGACATTTTGAGAGATGTTCTATAGTCCCCTGGAACTTAGTCAACCTTGGAGGGCAAGGGGCAAAAACTGTCCTTTAAGTCCCTCTAACCACATTAGTATAGGCCTCAAAGGACATCTGTTAAACATCCAATGAGGTTAGTTCTACCAGTCTGGTACTTTTAATTATCATGTGCTATGTAGATAAAGCTTGGGTGAAAAACCAAATATTCTCAGATAAACCTTGACTAGATATTGTGAATTTCATACAGAATATCTTAATCAATCTTAGTCATCTTATTCCCCCATCTCCACCTGTACCATCCCATAGCACCCCCCCACACACACTGGAACTCATATACTCTGTCATCTGTATTTAAGGCCCACTGTGTCAAGTCAGTGTCCCCAGACCTTCCCCAGTGCAAATTTCTCCACTGAGGTCTAGTCAGCCTATCCAGAGTCTCTGTTTTAGGAAGATCATCATCATTACTTCTCCCAGCAGTAATCAGCTGCCAATATTTCTTCAGCTAAGATTGGGGTCTGCTGCTCATTTCCCCAGTTCTATGCTGAGTTTTTGTCTGTTTGAGTTTGCATGGGACCTGTGTACACTAACACCATATGACCAGATTCCCAGGAGCTTGTTTATACATGATCATCTACCGCCTCCCTGGCTCTGACAATCTTTCCACCCCTCTTCTGCAATGGTCCCTGAGCCTTGGGTGGATGACGTTTAATAAAGGAGTCCTGTCCAAGGACCATTAATTAGCAGACTCTTGATCTCTATGCTTTGGCCATTTGTGTCCTTTCTGTTCCTGGCCCTCTCTGCACGAGGGAGCTTCGTTAAGAGAACTGAGAGATTCATTAGTGTCCTGTTCTTTGTTCTTATGCCTTAGGTGTAGAGGTTGCATTATGGATGTGGTGCCTGGGCCTGGGCAATTCATAGACAATATCTGCGTGTGACCAATTGTGGTACTTGGTAATTATTTCTGACTGGTGCAAAATAAGCTTCTTGGGTGGGTGGTGAATGGAATATTTGTCTGTAAATATAAGGATACATATTTTTCACATAGCAAGAAATTACATTAGTCTAGGGATGTGACAGTCTTGGGGTTTTCTCTAAAATCTATGACCACTCCAGTCATGGGTATTTGGTTATGTTCATAGTACCACACTTGAATTTCCTCCCATTGAGTGGGCTTTTAGTCCAATTAGGTAGCTGTTGATTGCCCCTAAGATAAAAGTGACACTACTGTACCAATGTTGTATGCTGTGCTGGCCATTGATGGGGTTATTTGGTCTTGAAGTTGGTGTTGGACCATCTATTGATGTTCTCCCTAGCACCTTCATAGCGGTCTCCACAGCTATGAGAGCTAGCTTTCAGGGGAAGTGGTTTCAGGTCAGTTCCCGCACTATTGCTCCAAATCCTGTATCCAAAGAATGTTCTGTCTTCAGCATTAGGGTCTTACCTTCAAGTTCTAGAAGGCCATCTTGATGATTTTCAGACATGGGGCTCTAATAAAGTTTCTGTTTTACT